CAGCAGAGATGAATTCCACAAACAGCAAAAACACAACTTTCCGCTCCATCGCAAGGAGCCGGATGGCGGATACTATTTTCAAAGACTTCTTTGTCCATAAGATGGCGTTTGAATTAGGAACTTGTTTAGCCAGATTCTCTTGTTACAATTTACTGATTCATTGGGTGGAGAATGGGAGGGAGAATGACAGAGCCAGACAGATTCAATTAATGATTTTTTCTAAAAGATCTTTTTCAAGTACAAATGCATCTTAAAATACATGCAGAATTAGACAGCAGGAAGAATTATGAATTTTAATCTGCTTGTGCCTTTAAATGGCCTTCTGAGAGGAAATAAGCTATTTTATCAGTACTTTTCAGAGAAAAATTGCTAAGCTGTAGCAGATGAAATCTGTGGCATTTTTCTGAGGAAGCAGAGATGGAGGAGAAAGGCCTGAGAAGAAAAATCTCCAAATCCCTCCTGGTCTCTCAGTACGACCATAATAAAAATTAAGTGTCAGGATTAGTAACATGGAAATGAATTCATGTTTCAGCAATAGAAGGAGCAAAGAGAAGGATCAGATTCAGTTCTCACACCTTTTCTGTACAGATGCAGATCTTTTGACTTCTCTAAAGTTCTACCTCTGCATCATGTCAGCATGGATAAGTCTGGAACCAGATCCAAGGAGATGCTTCCATGTTATACTCCAGCCTGCTGCTTTCTGCAGTCTGACCCGTGCCGCTTGGCAACAGGGGCCATTTATGCTGGGATACCCCAGCACTCACAGTGCCAACTCTGCCTCACTTCTTCCTCTGCCCTTCTTCAGCCAGACCTGAGTGGTTTGTACCTGCCTTCATGCATTCCCGGCTTCCTCTCTGAGATGCTGAACACTGGTGGTTTTCACAGCTTCTACTTTAATTTGTAAAGTTCCTTGGAAACATCCACGGGTGTCTAATCTTTCTCTGGGGGGAAGGGGAAAGGTCTGGGCTGGGCTTGTGTGACTTCAGCCGTTTAATTTGTCTGTCATTACTTCATGGGTATAGGTTACCAGGAATGTAATTCTCAACCTTCTTGCTCACAAAAAAGGCAGTGGTCTAAGTTTTCATTCATTTCTTTGACTGACACACACACACACAAAAAAAAAAAAAAAAAAAAAAAAGGAATGTCTTTGGGGGCTTACTTTCCTGGGTCTTTCTTCTTCAGCACGCATACACATGTGGTCATTAGAAATGTCACACACACAAACACTGTTTTATCTAGAATTTAAGTAGGAAGAATTCTGGAACACAGAATAGTGATATAAATAACATATATTTTTATTAAGTCCATTTCCACATTGAAGGTTTATTTAGAAAATTTTTCAACTTTCAAATTCCCTTTTTTTCCCCATTTGCCCCTTTCAAGATAGCATTTGGAATAGGTAGCTGAGTGCAGGGAAGGGAGACTACTTCTGAATGAACTTTAGTCAGTTTAATAAAACTAGAACAAATCAATGAGCCACCCAGGTTTCTAATGCTCTCAGTATTCCCACTGATGGTTCCACAACATCAAACAGTATGGAAAACATTTTCAAAGTAAGTCCTCCGTATTCTGAAACACGTCCCTACAGGCAGAGAGATGGAGGTTTTCTTGGCCTACCTGCTTAAAATAGGTCGTGCTCTGCATTCACAATCGACTTGGAGTCGGGCGTATTTCTTCAAAGCGAAGCCCCAGCGAAGGCTGCTCTGCAAGAGCTGGGATCGCACCACAGCCCAGCTCAGGGAGGTGGCCTGAGAGGCACGAAGCCCTCCTCTTCTCGGACCTGTTCAGAAGGGCTCAGCTCTCCCTTAGCCTTGGCTGGCACAGTGAGACCACCTGTTCCTGACTCCATGCAATGCTCACGCCCCACACCATCCTGAGGCTAACCTCACTTTTCAGGTTTTAGCAGCCACAGCTCTGCAATCAAGCTGTGATACACAGCTACACGCAGCTTGTAGGAGACAGCCAAACTGAGCAGCATCTGCAGAGCTGCTGTATAAGCACCTGAACATGAGGCCATGTCTCCACCCCAGCACGCTGCCAGTGCAGCAGAGAGTCATCTCTCCATCTGCTTTATCTGCACCACCAGAGCAGTTTTACTGCCCCAGCAGTGGGAATGTGTCTTCCTGTGATAGTGGATGTCCTGTGCCAAAGGAGCACATTTCTGTTCCCAGGGAGCAAGAACTACACAAGTAAAACTACTTCCATCCATACAGCTACCTCATGGTTTTGCCTCTGTAAAAGTGCAAACCCAGAATGTTTTCACTGGCAAAAGGTTCTGTCTGAGCCTTACGTCAATAGAGGGACATTGCAATAGCACAGGGCCTTTGGGGCAGGGACAGCTGCTGTGGGTGAAACAAGTAATTTCTCTCTTTTGTCTCTCCTTCTGCCATTCTTTCCTCTCTTTCCTTCCTTTTCTCCCTCCCCCAGGTGAAGCTAGCCATACCAATCCATTTAATGGAATTTAGGCATCTGTCAAACAGTGAGGCTGTTCTGGGATCACAGACATACAGACCTGGTGTGTCCTGTGTTCTCCCAGCAGGGCAAAGCCGGTTCTCCCAGTGTATCCTTTTTTGCCCTCTGTGGCAGGTGGATCATACAAGGACCACCTGCTCTTCCTTTTTTTCTGGCCCACCAGAGCTCTTATTCTGTGGAGGTAAGAGGAAAAGCTGGAAATTGAAGTGATGTGGTTAGCATCCAGCTGTGGTCACAACAATACGCAGCTGTAGGCTGTTTGTGGTTAGCTTGGATCAGTGTATTCAGCTGCATGAGCTTACCTAGCTCATTGTGTCTGGAAAGAGCAGGATGTCCCGGTGCACGCTGCTGTGGTGCCTGGATTCTGTGGCTCTGGTGGCTGAAGCCTGGTTGTGCCAGCATGCTTTGTTTCACTCAGCACAGAAGATGTCAAGCGGTAATTCTTGTGGATGCCCCCTCAGCTACTTTGCTTCTACCTTGCTATTAGAGGGCTATGAGCACAGGCATAAATTTGCTGCTCCAGGTATTTTAGAGAGGTCTCTCAGTTCCTCCCTTCTGGCATCAGAGATGGAGGTGGGTGCTGCAGCTCTTAAGGCCACTTATCTCTAAGGAGTTAGCAAGTAACAGCTGGCTTTGCCAAATGAGCTGCTGTGTTCTCCTAGTGACAGCGCTGAAATTAAGGGGTCCTTTACTCATCCTCTCAAGAGAGGCTTTGGACAGTAACTGTAATTGGCAGAAATTGCTCATGGTTCTGGGATCCTCAGATGCAGATGACAGTGTGGATGCCAGAAGGAATGAGGAAGTCAAAGGGGGGACCACGCTCTGTGCTTTTGAAAGCCAGAGGCACCCTGAATTAGCAGCTGAGTTCAAAAAAACTTCTCCTCATTCATGTTTTTTCATTATGGCATCTTTAGGTCATTATAAAATCACTGACTTCAGCTGGGTTATCCCTAAATTTCTTAGTTTGAGTGCGAAGGAAGCAGTCTGCTTTTCATTGTGCCCCAGTGAATAGCAGCAGCGTTTCCCACTGGCAAAGGAGCGTCAGCAGTGACTCTACGAACCAACCAAACAGGGAAATACATTCAATTGTGTTAGTGGTGGAGGGGATTTATAGCACATTGGGAGCTCTCCACTTAGGCCAGAATGTAATTGAGGAGGGGGGTGGGGGTAAAGAGCTGAGGAAAACACAGTTCCCTTGTTAAAATGAAATAATGAGTTTAATATATACGGGCAGAAAGAGGAGGGAAGTCCTTTCCCTGTTAAATATTTACCATTTGAGCTCTGCTTAGGCTCCTCGCTTTCTGTATCTCTAAAGGTGGTGGCACTGGTGACAGTAGGATATGTTTCTTAATGTATTCCTCCCTCTCAACCCACCTTGCATGGGAAACAGTGGCGGTAACAAAAAGCAGACTGTTCTCTCCTCATGAATATTAATCAGTAAACTCCCCCTGCTATTTTAAATCGAAGGCTGGTGCTAAAGCCCTTTTTTCCCCAACTCAAGCATCCCCTGAGGAAAACCCTGAAAGTCCTGGGAACGCAGTGCACAGAGGCTGCCGTGACTGGAGGCCTTCTCGGCAGTGACATATAAAACTCCGAGGTCAGGGGGCACAGTGAGAGGAGGAATCAGCTTTGTTTCCACTATGTGTTGCTGAAAGCTAAACCTTTATGGAACTTTTCTAGCTGCATTTTTGGCTATTTAGCTTGGAAAACAAAAGATTTATTTATTTTTTCCTATTCATCGCAGTTTTTGTCCTAAGCTGACAGCAGTGACATAAGAAGGACCCTCCCTGCTCTGTGCTGGAGCTGTGCATGCTCCATCAACCATCACTGCTTTGGAACAAATATTGTATGATCTTTAAGGGGAAGGAGAAGAACAGAAAAATGATCGCTGAGAGCCAATATAAACAGTCATGACATAAATGCATTCTTCTAAATAAGAAAATTAAAAATCTCCCTGGCAAGTAAAATACATTGATCAGAACATATACGGTACTAGATGATGTCCAGAAATCCAGCTGTGTGTCTTCACAATCCACTCAGCTTCACATCAAACCACAGCAATATTCCCAAGGACATGGGGTGATACAGCCGGAGGTTGGCTTGCCTCCTAGATAACCCTGAGCAGTGCTGAATAATTCTTTGAACTCAAAGCAATTTGCGACTGTGTTCAGAAATAACACACAAACTTGCCAAAATCCAGGAGTGTATCAGCAACCAAAGTGTATTTTTCCAGTGCCTATAATGATAAGGTGATGCAGAGTTCTGTTTTCTCTTTGGAGCAGAGCTAGCACTTGCGGTGTGCTAGAGGATTTCCCATGCCAAAGGTGCAATTCATGTTCTGAAGAGTTTGCAGTAAAGAATAATGTTTTAAAATCTTTGTCCTTTATCAAAGGATCTGGATAGACTTCAAAGAACATTTTAATCCATATCTTACAGCTGGAAAAGCTCAGGCAAGGAGGAGTGACATGGCTTCCCCAAGGTGATGTGCTGAGTTGGTGTCAAACCAGGAGGAAGATCCTGTGTTTCCTGCCTGCTGTGTGGGTGCTGTGTCTCATCATGTTGGCAAGGTCAGTGCTGCGTGCTGTGCAGATTGATATGCTGGTTGCAGACTTTAAGTGTGAGATGCTGAATAGTGTTAACAAATGTAGGACTTGTTGTGGGGCACGGGACAAACTCAGGCTCAACAGCCCAAACAGTCTTATGGCTGCTGTGAGCCTTTGCAATTCTTCAAACATTTCAGAGTTTGAAGAGTATCACCGCGTGAGAACAGCATCTTAGGTTGGGTGGCTGCAGTGATTTTGGTCCGGAGCCCTAAAACTAAATGTAGCTCCATATCCTGGAAGTAATTCTGAGATAAACAGCCAACTGTGCTCAAAGGAAAAGATCTTCAGATAGAACCTGCGCTTGTACTTGCAAGATCTAGTATGTGTATTTCAGCAGCAAGGTCTCAAATAAAAATCTTGGTAGATCACAGAAGGTTTAATAGGTTTCATCCAGCTGCAGTTGTCTTGTTCAGCACTTCTCAGAAGAGATGGCAGCAGTACAATTTTTCCAGGACACAAGAATGAGAAGCAGCTGTACCTAATAACTGCAGGTATGGACATGTATCTGTAATTAGAGGTAGTTCACAGTGTCCTGGCTTTAAGTGCTTGCAACTGATATATATTCTTGCTTTTCACCCTTCTTTGGAGGAACTGGAGTACAGCTGAGTGGTCCAATTGGTGGAAGATGGAAATAGCACCAATCAATTTTAATTTAAATGCATAGAATGTAAAAAAAACAACTATTTGCTAAAAATCAGGTTACTCATTTCAAATGGAAGTGTTTGGCTATGAATGTATTTTGAATACCATATTGCACGATGGCAAACAACTCCAAAAGAGATCAGAATTACTGTAAATTTGAAAAAAAAAAATTATTCAAAGTGTACAGAAAGAATGCAGCAATTGTCTGTTCAGGCAGTTGCCCTGAAGGCAGTGTTTTGTGAATATGTAAAATAGTTACGTATTAAATGGGAGGCCCAAGTGCAAATTGAGAAATGTGTTTTGAAATGGACTTGTAGCAGAAACTGGGAGAGATCAGAAGCACATTGTGAGAACTAGTTATTTCCTCTCAGCTGAACACTTTTCAGGAATCCTTTTACCTCCATGCCAAGAGGCCATATTTATTCTAACAGTTACAGGTATTCACCACTGCGTTGTCTGTTGTGTATAACCAATAACAGGGAATTTTCAGCAGGTACATGTAGCACACTGGAGATCAGGTGAAGGTGACCCTTGATCTCAAACTTGTGTTTTTGTCTGGGAGCATTACCTAGTCCTGCAAAGTCAGAGCCAGCTGTACTTATCCATTGTACTTGTCCTCCCCGGTTCTTGGGAAGAGAACAGAAGGGGTGCTGAGACATCAGCAGTCAGTGCTGTGGACGCAGTACTCCTTTGCCTGGCAGCAGTCAGCTATGACTGTAGATGCCAGAGCCAAGGCTGGTCATGTTTTGGAAATGCTTACTGTCTGAGTACTTTCTTATGGTGCATGTGGGAATCGTTTCTACTTTTTGTTCTGCTTTTTCCCCTGACTGCCTTGTTGACTTCTGCACTCCACAGATTTATCAGGTAACATCTCTTTCTCTGTGGTCTTTTCTCTTTACTTATCTAAGGACTTGAATACCTCCCAGTTATGATTCCTGGCAGAACAATGTATGCCATTGATAGCATAGCTCACAGCCTGCTTGCCTTTTCACTTTCCTGTTTGACCTTTTAAATTTTGCTATTTCACAAATATTCTATCTTGAAGTTTTACACTCTTAGGGTACTTAAGGAAAATTCTCTCCTGGTACACTTGTCTAAACAAGCTAGCCAAACCTTGAAAGGATATCATTTCCCTTGAAAGTGTATCCGCATATTGATAATTGATAGCGTAGCCATCTTTCCAGCCAGATGGCTTCCTTTTGGATGCTTACACAGAAGAAAGTCTGAGGAGCAAAGTAGCCCTTGCACCCTCAAAACAGAGCCTGCCATTGCTTCTTAGACTAAAATCAACACTCCAGAAGGATACAAGCTAATGAAGAGAATCCGTGCATTTCACCTGATCATAATTTGCTTCATAACAAGAGAAACGTAATTTCTATGCATTTATTAGTTCTTTCTCCAATGTTTATCATAGAAAGATACAAAATATGGATGTGTATGTATGTATATATACATATATATGCAAAGAATTTAGTGCTGCATAAGACATAATGTTACACTGCAATGTATACTTGCTTTTATCTCACGCTCTTCTTCACAGAGATCTGTAGAGGAGTAAAATCTGTGAAGTCTTCCACAGAAATGAAGCCACTTCCTCTGGGGAATTAACGTGGTGTTTATAGTCCTTCATAATCATGTCAAATAGCTAAGGTTGAGCTACTCTCCCTTTCACTTTTGGGACCATCATACAACTTATAGTAGTATCTGACTTCTGTGTTGAATGTAGAACATGGCAGCAGCCTCTTCTTCCTCCTTTGTGGAGAAGCTCTAGGCACTGAGTTGTTCACAGTACATGAAATGCTGCCATTTACTGCTGCCGTGCGTGCTGTATGCTGCCTGAGTAGAGGTTCCCCCTCTCCTCTGGAAAGGATGTGTGGGAGTGTCTTGAAGGATGGATGGTCTGTGGGTGGATTGTGCTGGTTAGTGTACAGGTAGAAAAAGCGATCATCAGTTTAAGACAGGAGGACTTGGGGGAGGCAGAGAGGAATCAACCACATGGAAGCTTGAATGCAACAGTACACTTCGACAGTTCTTGCAGAAAAAAAGCCTCATTTGCTGAGATTATCTGTGTATTATGAAGGGAAAATATCATGTCATGAATCAGTGGGAGCCTAACTGGAAATTGTCTCAGATGTTGCTTGTTTGTGCTTTGATGAGGGCAACCACAGGACTGTACTCTCTTGAACTGATGAGAATAGGGGATTGTAATAGAAAAGAGGGGATAATGGAGCCAAATAGGAAGGAAAACACATATCTTCTTAGGAAATAATACTTGGACATCCAACAGTGGGAATCATGGTGGCCATACAGTTCTGCTTATTGTCGCTCTTTGATATGAGCCTAGAGAGCCATAGAATCAGAAGTACAAAGTCTTCGAGATCATCTGGCCATATCTGGCAGAAGGGACTGCAAGACCAGCAATACAGAGATGATAGGAATAGAAAAGCTTAAAGTTTGCGAAAGCTAAACTGTGTAAGAGATTGATCTACTGATGGGGCAAGATTGGCATTAGTATTAAACTGGGAGTTAATATACATAAGCATCGTACTTCTCCTTATTTAATTTCTTTTTGGTTCTAAGAAACTGCTTCATCAGAACTAAGCAGTTAGGTAGGTGATTCATGTAACACTCATCACTATGTCCAACCTGAGTAATATTGTCTGACTCCTGGAAGCCTTATCCTTCCCATCTGTTCTGCCCTTCTCTTACGTTGTGTTCAGTCTGGAAGCAGGCAGGGGACCGAACCTTGCTGGCTCACATTTTTGCAGTTTGTGCAGGAAAGCCCCAGTCCTAATGTTTGAACCTTTGGGGAACAGTGTCAGTCAAAGTAATTGTATCCTATGGCTTCCTGGTGGAGTATGAGAGATTTGCCCTTGGATAAGGAATGCAGAAACAGTGCAGGCTCTTTTATGGCATAGTGTTTGTGGAGGGGCTGCACTCTGCCCAGGGAGCCTGGCTATGCTAGCATTTCCCTCCCTGATTCCCACCAGGAATTCCCAAAATACCAACTGCTCTGGTGAGGCTGAGGCCTTACTGTACCTTTGGAAGGGAACAGATGCCCCTCTGTGTGCCCTTTTGGGTCTTGGCGTAGCCAGGCGTTGAGAAGGACAGAGAGGAGAAGGTCAGGACATGAAAGGAGCTTTATAGTAAGGGAGATGGAAGGAAGAATGACTTTGTCACTCAATTAGCCTGGACTTTCAAAGCATGGAATGAAGTGTCTGGTGCAGTAATGCAGCCCTTGTAAGCACAGTGTGTGGGAGGCAGCAGTAGAGGGGAAGGAAGTGCAGAGTGTTCAGCAGCTGGCACAGCAGCTAGCCCTGCCCAGCTGCTCATGTACAAGTTGCTTCGTGTCTGTCAGTGACCAGATTCTCTAGCCATGGCACTTGGCACTCTGCTTTGTCTGTTCCTAGTTATTCCCTGGCGTGAGGTACATTGGCAGGCATGTGCCCTGGGAAAGCAAAGAGCCCAGGGTCAGCACTATGCTTTATGCAGAGGATTTTAAGGCCTGCTTCTATTAAGAGAGAAACACACTAGAGTTAGTGGCTTCAAAACTATCCCTACATAGTGACAAAACTACTTCGAAAAGCAAAATAGACTTAAATTATATGATTAAATTTCTATTAACTACTCTGTCCTTGTTAAATGTTTTTGCTTGAAGATTGGTCCATTTCATGCACCCTTCTCTCCTGCTCAGTGAACACTGGACAAACTCCCATCATGAACTTGTGGAGCTCAGAACCAGGATAGAGAGAATAGCTCTCTGACTAGATTCAAAAACCTCCATAGCTGTGCAGAATGGATGTAAATAGTTGTGGGGATCTTCTTCCAAGGCTTTTCTGTCCCAGGCTGTCCAGTCCTCTTGGCTCAAATATACTCAGGTATCATCTGTATATATAGCTAAGTCTGCATCACTTGCTCTTTTCAGTGCAATATGAACAATGAATGTTGGAGATGTGCACATGATTGCTGAGATTTTCAGGTCACAGGAATTAAAACTTTTGTAATGGAGTTGGTACCCAAATCTCTGGGACTGCCTAGCAAGTCAGGCACAGACAGTGTTATGAGTGCCCTTCTTTCTCCATAAGCCTACTGCACCTCCTGGATTACAGCAACTGCTGCAGTGCGCCATCATAGAGATTTCTCACTCTGAAAATGGAAATGTGGCTATGTTCCCACTCTGTGCCAAAGGAAAGCTGAAGCATAGCTGAGCATTTTTTCCCATGCTTCTGCTCAAGCAAAGATTGCTTTCACCTCTCTATGTTCTGCTTGACTCAGACCATCCATACTATTCCACTCCAGGCTTTCATCTCCAAAGAGTTGCA